CAAGCGCATACCGTGAGTGTGTGTCACGGTCATATTATTATATTATCTACATGTAGAATAATGTATATAACATAATAATATTGTCGAGTTTTTACGACAAGTTCTTACAACAACGACAACAACGACGACGAATTTCGCGTTGCCAGAGAAAGTCCTAAGGGTTTCCTAGGCGCCGGGCGGACCTATCTGTACTATATATATTTTATAGGTGTGTGTGTGTGTGTGTGTGTGTGTGTGTGTGTGTGTGAGTGAGTGAGTGTATGTCGAGTGTCGGGTATTATATTATTATTGTATTCAATTGGTGGACACATACGCAATTGTTCGACTGGTCAGAAGAGTCGGTGAAATGTATGGCCAACTACTATATACTTCCATTCATCGCGTGTTTAATAATAACCGAAACCGTTTGAAACACAATAAATGACACAATTGGAAACGCGATCGCGCTTAAAGCGTTACTATATAGTGTATATTTATCGTTTGTATATAATAGGTAAGTATGTAGTTATGTCAGAGTAAAACATAACATATACTTGTAATAGTGATTGAAATATTTAATGTAGATAGCTGGGTACACGTCTTGTACTCCGCGATCATTAAAGTAATTATATTTTCGTCTGGAGAAGACTGCGCGCAGAATGATGTACTCGTTTATAGAATATTTCATTCCGAAAGATTTATCGATTTGTTTCAAACGTCCTCTTCGATAAAGAAATCGAATCGACACTCATATAACATAATTTATAATTACTCAAGTAACTAAATCGATAATAATATGATCATTAAAGACAATAATATAATATAATGTTACAGTTCAAGTATTGAATGCACATTTCTCACAGTACTTTCATTACAATTTTTCTAAATGTATCTATTAACTATATCATATATATATATACCAGCTACGTCTGACAATTCTCCGCGATTTGTAAACGACATATTTTAAAAAATTGACTTTTGAAGGACGCGTGTCAAGAATTAGTTCCGGTAGGTTTAGACTTTTAAAATATTTGCCATTCTCGCTGGAATTGATAAAATTAACGGTTCGTTACCACGAGATGAACAAATATAACAGTTTCATTGAAATACTGCAATCTCGGGAACTCGAAATGTGTACTGGAAACGTTTCGATAACCTGCTGAAGTTCAAAATAGTTTAAAGCATTATTACAAACAATAAAGTGAAATATTGTTTTCTAAATCATATTTTGTAGGCGTTGAAAACGATTTGAATGTTGGTGTCTATAGGTTTGGTCTAAGTACGATGAACTGTGTCGATGCAATAATATAGTAACCACCTATGATACTTCAAGACTCGAAAGACCGCGAAAGACGTAAAAAATTTTTTGGTTTTGAATTTCTTAGAAATTTTATAACGAACGTGTTACAGAATAATATTATACTCCCCATTGCTACGGGCCAACTATATCTGCACGACACGTAATTAAAGTATTCGTTTCGCAACGTCTCGTTTGTAATATTTTGAATATCTAAATCGATGCGTCCCAAGCGTTGGTTTGTCGTCTTAATAATGTATTATATTTTATAATTATCTACGGTTCGTCACTTGACGCTCATTATATCAAATCGAATGAAAACGAATCTTATTCGATACGGCAGTGACGACGAAATGTGTAATTACGAACGCGTAATTATATTATTGTTTTATATTACACGAAATTGCAGCAGACTACGTTTGTACGATATAGTCTTATCGGACGAAATCTCTCGTTTGAGGAACGTCTATGTAGGTGCCTATAATAATATAGGTACTGCATTACTGCCTACTGGCTACTGTTCAAACAACGCACGATAGTAATATAATACGTATACATAAGAGGTAATCTATCTAAGTATATGTAATCATTATATTTCGAAAATTTTAACTTATTTTTACATAATTGTAAATTGCAAAACAACAAATACAACATTTTTGAAGAAAAAAATTATCAATTTTTTTATCATTATCGAGTTTTTGACATATAGAATGAAAAAGTGAATTTAATATTCCAAAGCTGCAGAATATTTTTCGGAGTATTTGAATACTTACACAATATGTGCAGTTAATTGGCTATAAATTTATAAATTAATGTTATAAGCTTATCACTCGTAAGTTATTTAGTTGTAACTAAAAATAGAGTAGAGGTAGTTACTTAAAAAAGTAAAAACTTACGAAACGATAACGGCGAAAACATTTTGTAAGAATCTGATTACCTAAGAATAATGTTTTCAAAAAAGTCATAACTTTTTTGAAATAATTAGTGCAGACAGTTAAATGCATGCGTACATTTTTTACTGCGTGGCATGACGACGTGATCGTCTGAAACGAGTTGGCTACTTGGCTACTTTGTGAAAACGTCGCGACCGGTACCTACAGCATAATATAATATCTCTATGTTTACCTATGCAATAAAAATCATAATATAAAGATCGTTATTCCGTCAGACACGCGTGATAAGACCCGAAACGCAGACGAACCCGGCCGTGATTAACGCGGGACGGCGATCGCGTCTAAATAGATCGTCGAGGGCACGTGACCAGGATTATCGCGATGATGTCCGTTTCTCTCCTCGGACGGCGGCGGCGGTGCGGTGTCGAAACCCGTATGGAAGATCGCCATTTTTAACGACCGCGACATCGTTGTCGTCGTCGTCGTCCGCGGAGACGCAACCGGTGGCGGCGTGTCCGCGGGATGTTTATAGGTATAGGTACGTGCCATTATCGTATGATTATAACCGTTGTCGTATACCGCGGTATCGTAACTTGTAAGCTTTCGCTCGGACGTCGTCGGCGACGTGCGTGTCTCGCGGACCGTCGCACCGGTTCCCGTGCGGTACCCGTGACACATTATGTTGTTTAATATCGCGTGTTTCGCAACGTATTTTCCGCGGCCGATTGGAAAAACCAAAACGTTTCGAAAGAAACAACGCCGAGCCCCGGGATAACTGCAGTTGTACGCAGGCACCTGTGATCGTGGCTAGAGCCAAACTTAAAATAGTTATTTAGCCATGGCTATGACGTAGGCGGCTGCTCGAGCAGTTGGTACACGCGCGCACGGGCGTGGGCGTACCAACATAGGACTGCACCGGGCGGCGTAATTATATCGCCACCGACGGTCGGCATTGATTGGTGGTTTTTCCGTCGAAAAGAAAACGCAGTGTCGAAACCACTGGCCAGGCAAAGTACCAACGCTAGCATGTGTGTGTGTGTGTGTGTGTGTGTGTGTGTGTGCTTATATTTTTGTCCCTCCACCTTGTCATGACGTCATAGGTGCTGCAGATCGCGTGATATTATTATGTCATCGACAGCCGTTAATACGTGGACATTATATTATTATTATTGTTATTATTAAACGAGTTGACGGCCGGCGTACGTGCGGCATATTAAAAATATATACACATGTACGTACAATAATGTACATAATAATATGTATAATATAGCTTTGCGGTGGCGTTTTTCACACGTGTCGGCTAAAATGCGAAATGTGTAATGGATACCATTAAATGGGATATTATTATCGTATTACGAGCGCGAGTGCAAGAGTGCGTGTATAAAGGACACGTTAATATAGAATATGACATGTTATAATATGTACAATGTACTTATAATAAAAATAATGTATAACACAAACCGAACTCGATCGTGAATTTCGCGAACACGCATCAGCAGCGATGTCATTATTATTAGAATATGAACACAATGAGTATAATAATTGTACGGTGCCCGGTGGCTTCCGAAAGCGTTTTTTTCTTGAAAATTATCACTTTTTATATCACTTTGTATTTATAGCGTTTATTGAGATCAAAATTTTTATTTATTTTTTGATCGACCCCAAAACTCCCAACGAGATCGGTCGAAGTGTGTTGTATAAGTCATAAGTCATATGCCATAACTGCAAAACACGCGTGGTTGAACACTCTGTATGCGTACGCGGGCCTTATGTGGGGGAGCGTGATAAACGGGTTTATTCAAAGGCCTCGCGGATGTAATGGTTCAAAAGTATTTGGTCGCTACCAAATTTCTGCATTTTCTCGACCTATCGGTTCGGAACGTCTGTCCGATATGAACTGAATAATGTTGGGCATACCAGCGGTGAATTCGTATCATAAATCTACCATCGGTTTGCGCGTATCGTTCAAAGTCGAATGGTGAAAAAGAAATGCCGCTCTGTCCGATTTCGTTTCGGGTGGTACGCGCTTCGTATATTAACAACGCAATATCGATTATCGGATGATCTAATATTAATAATATTATGTACAATGTAGGTACTATCCATTGCACATAAATGCACTAAGCAGCCTTGCAGCTTAAAACGATTAATGAAAACGAAATAGTTTTCACGTTGTGAAATACTTAGCTACAATAATTACACTGATGAGCGTTCGAATCGTTAATGTGCTATTTTTCGAACAGGAGAAAGATATTTATAATAATCATTGTTATTATTGTTAAATCAGTAAATTTTAAATAAAAGTACGACTTGCCCAAAACTTTATAAGTATATGTATACAGTGTATATAGGTATTGCTCTGAAGTGCACGAAATTTATTTCCTCATTCCATGGTGTTTACCTATGTTAAACTGCGTGCGTGTATATGCGTAATTACGTAATTATATAATTTCATTGATATCGTTTAAAGACCAATAAATAAATTGTAAAGTAAAAAAAATGCGTATTAATAACCACGTGTTGCGATTTCTTGTGAATTGTATGAGTTATTAAATGTGCATTTAACACGAATTAAAAATATGAACAGACAACCAGATTTAAATAAAACTAAAGGACACAACAAGCGAAATATGGATAATGTTTTTAATGTAATATCATTTTATTTTATTTAAAAATTTTCCGATAACTTTACTTTTATTCGAATTTGTATTTTTACCGATTTTCGGATAGCCGGTCTTGTATATGTATATGACCACGCTTATAAATATGATAAAAGTTTTTAAATAAATGTAAGTATACAAATACTATTATTAATAATCGTTTACACTCACCCTTTGTACGGAAGCCATTTTGTATATTTATTTATTTTTTGGCGTTCGCCGCGGCACTTGCAGATAAAACGTCGCTGGGGAAAATGTGCAACAAAACCTGCAACCGGAATTGGGCGCCGGAAAATATAATAAATATTATATTATGTATAGAGGTACAACAGGTAGCCGTGATATGGGTCGTCGTTCGTGACGGTGACGGAGATGAGTGGCGTCGTGCAGTAGTGGTCGCGGTGTACAACAGGTATCACACTGCGACAGCGGAGCGTGAGTTTACGATATTTATATAATGTATATACAGAAATGTACGAAAACAATAAATAAATATAAAAAAACTGGTATGGAGGTAAAATGTGTGTACGGTTTGGAGTTTGGGTAACTAGATACTAGGGTTTCGGAGGCGATCCGTTTAGATTATATAGTGGCGGGACGTTCGGTTTTCGCCGGGCGGTGGGAACGTTGCAGTATAGTAATAATAACATTTTATTATTGTGCGCGTTCCTATAGTCGGCGGAGGGGTGGGGGCGGCTCGAGCGAACCGTAGGAAGAAAAATCGCGGCACGGAAGAGCGCTAAAAAGAGGTGTACCGTATCCGTAGTCAAGGTCTTCTCCGGTGTGCGGCTGCAGATACGCCGCCGCCGCGCCGACCGGTTCGAATGGTCGGCGGCGGCGGTACCTGCGACGGCGACTTTGACGATTTATGTCTTATCTTATTACATTTTTTCACCATAAAACGTATAGAGTATACTATATTTATATAATACTGCGCCCAATTATAGTTACTTATGTATATATATTATATATATACGAATTGTTTTTTTTTTTTTGGTCTCCGAATAAATTCGTATATTAGTGTGTTGTGACTATAATATCATAGTGAGTATATAGTATTTAGTTGGTGTTATTCCTTTGATGGCGATATTGCGACATAGCTGTGTATATTAGCCCACCTACAATAAATTGTCATTATTATATTCTCCCGGAATTGTATAATTTCGTCGTTTCGAGATCCTCCCGGGATTGGAATTCTGGGAGAGAGAAAATTCTCCGGTTATTATTATATACTCGAATATCCAAAACATTAGCGTGGGCAACATAATATTATGTTTGATTTGTGTCTATATACCATAATATTTTCGTCACAAACCTACTTAGTACTTTACGTGCATATATAATGCGACTATTTGACAAACCGTTAACGATAGGTAACGTATAATTTTAGTTTTTACATAAATTTTAGGTATGTCCCTTAATGCAATATGTGTGTAAAGTATAAACGAATTATATTGTTCTACGGTGCAGACGAGAACAATTTACATAGGTTCGGCACTGTGTTATGATATTGACATATAGGTAAGTATATCATACATCCGTGGTTGACAGTTGTTATAATTAAAAAGGTGCTGAATTTCACATGAAAACTGGAATGCGCACATGCGCAAAACAAGTTGCTAAAGAAATATATAATTTGTAAGTTCTCGAATCATATTAAATACTGTGTAATATACGCTGTAAAACGATTGAAATACCCTTTAATTATTGTATTATTAAAAAATACAAATACCTAACCATACGAAAACTAAAATATTAAAATAAAGTAACACAATGCGTGAACCTATACAGTATTATGATTTATGACCAAGTAGATGTCCTAAATCAATCAGTTCAAAAAAATAACGTTTTTGCAAAATTATTTTTATTTATTATTATTTTCTTTTTTACTTGACGTTGATTTATTGTAATCTTCCACTTATTATATTAATTACGTAAAATATAGGTATCCGTTGATCTTTAATAATGAGTATTATTATACAAACTAAAATAAAACTTCTTCTAAGTTTTTTATTTATTATTAAATTTTTTAATCACTTATATTTTCGTAAAATTATGCTTACAATTATTAACAAACGTTTAATGAAAATGTTAACCATGAAAAAAGTTATTAAATTTAATTAGAGTTTTAATTTTAAATGTTTTTAGAGAACAACAAAAGAAATTAGTTACAGTAGAACAAACATTTGTTGTAAAAATAATTAATATTATGTTTATGGGCTTGAATATAATATAATCCGCTGTTATTTATTATCTTTATTTTCAACACTTGTCGGTATGAAATATTCTTTCCGCAATAAACTTCACGGATGATTTCCAATAACTTGGGATCAAACATAATAATTATTTAAACTTCGTGATACATGAGGTACATTTTTAGGTTTATTTCCTGATCCATACACATTAGATCTTCAGTAATACTTTTTATGCATATCAAATTGTCTCGTTTGTACCAAATAATAAACATTTTTTTCCATCAATTTTTGACGATATTAAAAAAAAAATGTGTACATTTTTGACAAAAAAAAATGATAGGGTTATGCATCATTGACTAATTAAAATTAATTTACAGGTAAAATCAAAAAACGTTTAGCAACGAATAATTTACCGACTGAGTGAATAATTACTTGAAGGTTACGGAGTCGAAGCTACCTAGGAACTAAAAATAATAGTTACGGGATCGAGTTACAGGAAATACACGGCCAAGTTCAAAATTGTCTATTTAACATTAAGCCAATAATAATATCCGTCTTCCAAGTCCAAGGAAGCAATTACCTAGTGAATTACGAATAACAATCTGATTACTGATTGGTGGTGTGTTTTACTTTTACGCTCGGTTTCGTCTGACAGTCATTATTATCACTCAATCGATTAAACTATAACTAAGGTCTAGGGTATTTTCACCAAACGGTTTTCGCGAACAAACGGTATGGTATGGATTATATAATAATTATAAATACAATGTAATTATAAAACGGATTATCGAAAAAACAGACAATATTTTTTTCATGAAATCCGTCCACAGTAATAAATAATAATAATTTTCGATGTCATCAGAAATAAAAAGTCGTTACGATTGTCAGTTTCCATGTAATGAAAGGTACATTATTATCTCAAAAATAATAATAATCAAATATAAACCATACCAACGATTTTTTTAAGCACCGACCTCCTTGTACGAATATCGTCGTTTTAATATTATATAATGTATAATTATATTCGATAATTCGATAATAATATATTAATACGTTTTAGTACACATACCCGCAGCGGGCTGGGAGATTTTAAATGCAATTATGTACATTTTCCAAATATATATAATCAAATAAAAATAATAATGATAACATGCTATAAATCGTATCTGTACGGTCAACGAGACGTGTTTTTACCTTTATGTACTATTAATAATACTGATACTATACTATATTTAATATTTGTGTTCAGCTGCAGCTTCGGTGGCGTAAAATAAAAATCTGGCAACATATAAAATTGTTCAAGAATATTTTTATTCACGATGCCACGTGGACGTTTCCGAAAGTACAATACATAGGTACCTAATACTAATTAGTGCTGGCGGGTACCTATATAATAATGTATAGGCACCTGTTGTACGTCGGGAGCTGCTCGCATAAGTCACGCATTAGTCAATAACGAATTGTCGTTATATTCCTCATAATATAGATTATCTACATATCTTCGGTTCACTGCTCATTGAGGCTGCAACACATAAACATATTATAATAATAATAATAATAATAATAATAAACGCACCGCCGCCGCGTGTATCGCCGGCGCGTGCAAGTTCCCCGTGTGTTAATGTCATAATTTTTGAAATTACATAAACTGTAATCCATTAAGCGACCACGCGAGTGTGTGTGCGTATTTGTGTGCGAGTGTGTGCACCGCGTATTTGTACATTTCGACTTATAAACACATACCTACCTACCTAATAATATTGAAAACGTAGGTCCGCCAAAATAAATAATATGACACAATAACGCGCGCGAGCCGTGTTGTATATTATTACACTTTAATTATAAAATGTTATTTCGTGTGTGTGTAAGACACAACGATATTTCTTCAATTTTACGAAAAAAAAATCGGAGGACGCGGTGAAATAAAGATGTGTTCATAGTATATTTTAAACATAATAAATATTATATTGCATAAACGCATGGGTCCGTGATCAAGAAACGTGTACCTACTTGATATACGTGTACGTTGATATTATTATAGGAAAATAATGAATTATTATGGTTATGGTTATGAATTTATGATACTTGGAAGTTGGAGTAAATACGACATAGTTTTAAAGACCAGTCGGTCTAGGTGGAATTGACTTACATGTCCATTCAAATACATATACACGATCCAGCTCTCGTAATTAAAAACTTTAAATCATACTGTGTTTTACAATATTTTAATTTTTAATATACATAATTGATATGTGCAGATATCAATAACAGTATTATGCTATAATTTCAGTTTCAAAATGGATGAGATACTTTTTTTTTAGAATTATTTAAAAACGAGTACAACTTTCACGTGCGAATTAAAGAAATGTAATTCACGGCATAAATTAATGCAATTTATTTTGTGCTATACACTTAAATGTATCGAATTTAGCATTTTGTTTTTAAGCAACATTTTTTCAATAATATTATCTTATTAGGTACTTTACATGACGAATTTGTTTTTGTTTAGTTAAATATTATCAAACAAGAGAATTAAACATGACTTATGTGCTGTATACAGTATACATTATACAATGTATAATACATAGTAATATTTATACAAAATAACGCATATTCAATTGAGGGGAACAAACTCAAATAATTAATTCTAAAATACTTTATACGTAAATAATATAAGTAAGTCATAATTAAATTGCAGTAATTTAATTAAATATTAATATACCTTATATACCTTCACTTAATATTTGATTTTAGTGTTCGCCTTGTTTCAAAATAATGTGATTTAATTACAGACGAAATATTGTTTTTGAACTTCATAAGAATATAGTTGTTGTCAGAGTTTATTTCTATACGGATTGTACGTTTGTACGTAATCGAATATCTTCAAACTATCTGTGGATACAAATTACAGGAACGGTATCCAGTCATTTAAAACTTAAACTAAGTTATAAAAAGAAGAGTGCATCATATCTCAGTCATCAAGGAACAATAATGTACGATCGATGTATATTTTTATGTTATATAATTGTATATTTCCGTCTTAAATATAATAAATGTAAATTAATAACGGTTAAACGGTGTATAGGTACGATAAATATAATAATAATAATGCATACTTAGAACTTTACAACTTTGCAATTGGAACATACTTTTTTTGTTTTATGTATGTATCTGAAACGTTAACAATGATATTGTAATATTATCTGCTAAAATCCGAAAGAGTTTGGAGAAAAGTTTTTATTTTCATGCCCCGGGTAACATCAATATTATACTACATTATTCGAATTCTTAAGATATTGTATTCCGGTGGGAAAAAAATATATATTGAATTAAAAAGTTTTGAAAATCGAATTGAGCAGTTTGACT